TATCGTCAAACATATATTTTATTCAAAAATAAAAACAAATAAAATGAAATATTAAAAACACGATGTATCTCGCTGCATTGCGCGAGTACTCTTCTAGTTACCAATAATAATATCAAATAAATAAAAACAAGTCATCACTCGCAGGGAGTCTGAAGCAGGAATGGCTTCACATTCATTCCTCTCCACACACATCTCTTCTCATCATGCTCCTACTCTTCTCCCTTCTCGATTTCCATCTCCAAATCGTCCTCCAAACTTCACGCTTTCTCTTTCTAGAAACCTCGCCCCTCGCAATCTCCATGCCACCTGCATCGTCGCTTCTCTCCGTCCAATTGCTCATAGTAACCACTCGCCGGCGACGGAGTCCGCCGACAGATCCGCCTGCAACAGGTTTCTAGATTCGTTTGTCGTAGTTCTCACTTCCGTAGCACTTTCTGTCGCTATATTTGTTACCGATGTCGATTCTGCGGCTGCTTTTGTTGTCACTCCGTCTCGGAAGTTGCAGACGGATGAGCTCGCTACTGTTCGTCTTTTCCAGGAAAATACTCCTTCTGTTGTCTACATCACTAACTTAGCTGCTAGGTAATTCTATCGATATTGACTTGAGTAAATATCTGTTTTTGTGGCCTTCATTGTGTTTGTGGAATTTGAAATGGAATGATCATTTTTGAAGGATAATTGTGATGATCCAGCTCATTTGCATAGTTATTTTGCGTTTTTATGTTAGTTTAAGCTGGATCACCTGATAAAAAACGTAGAAATGATTGGTAATGGATATGATGCAAAATGTCGGGCGTTTGATCTCATTCAGTTGAGATACTGGTTTTTTTGTTCATTCGTTTTTTCTGAGTGAAGTTATGTTGTCTAGGCAGGATGCATTTACTCTGGATGTATTGGAGGTGCCCCAGGGGTCTGGATCAGGCTTTGTTTGGGATAAAAAGGGTCATATTGTCACAAATTATCATGTTATTCGAGGTGCGTCTGATCTCAGGTTGGTCAGTTTTTGCCTTCTCATAATCTCATGCCGTGAAATATGCAAAGTGAATATTGTTGTCACTTGGGACTCTAGCAATGAATATTGAGTTGAATGATTGGTTGCAAGTTGTAATTTGACTTGTCAGTCAAATCTGAAGAGAGAATATGAAGACGTGAAAATGGACAAAAGAACAACGGATAAGTGATTGATTCCTCCACATAATGATGTATTATGATGCTTTTGGTTGCCAAATGGGTTGGACTTGAGTTCGGCTGGCAAGAACGTCATTCCACAATAATATCTTACTCTTGCTCCTGCCTCCTTGTTAGAATTGATATAGGATATTGTTTTCATGTTCATGATTATGCTTCTTCCTTTCAGTCAATATATAGAACTTCATCTACCTTGACACATCAATATTCATCTCAATCATATATCAACTCTAACATCTGAGTCGTATATCAATTCTAACACTCATATTTAGGTTCACGGGCATAGCTACCAAGATCAATGTAGTCAATTATGTATCTCCTAGAAGTTGGTTTGCTATTTCTCATTTTGTTCTAGGATTCTTCTTCATAGGGCATTTGTAGCACAAGGAAAGGATTGTGCAGCTGTAGCAGTATTTGAAAAAAAGGAATTGATCGTCATTTTGAACAGTGTACAACTCCACTTCTTTGGCACTCTACTATGCATAAACATATTGAAGTAACCCATGGTGTAAAAACGGACTCAAAATCACATAAGAACCTGAAAATGCAGCCTGTGGTAGTATCAGGAGATGTCGTCCGACTGATTCGTCATATCTGGGAAAATCTGTCAACTGTCTAAAAAACCACATGATTTAAGTTTAGAGAAATGGAGTATGTGTTTGCTTTGGATAACTTCATTGATCTTAGTCTTTATTTCTTTCGTTCACCTTGAAAATCAATTTGTCACTTGTGGTGACGATACATTTCTTCATCATTAGGTTCTGTTAGCAATGTCTCTGGTATCACTAATTTCTTCTCTTTGCTTCCATTGAGTTGATTTATGTATTAATGTATATTCAGGGTAACACTTTCTGATCAGACCACATTTGATGCACAAGTTGTTGGGTTTGACCAAGATAAGGATGTTGCAGTACTGCGTATTGATGCACCAAAAGATAAATTGAGACCAATACCAGTCGGTGTGTCTGCCGACTTGCTTGTTGGACAAAAAGTGTTTGCTATAGGAAACCCTGTGAGTTTGCATATACTAATTCTGCGCATGAGAATATTGAGTACATTATATATGTATATTGTGCTTATTTGTTCTGCTACTAGCATGCCTAAAATCAATATTTTTGTGCTGTAGCTCTCTTCATCAATCTTTATGGGTCATTTTTTGTTGAAATGTTAAAAAAGCAGTGCTCTGATGCAGTGTTGACCATTTATGTAATGTGAATGATCTCTAACCAGAAACTTTAAGAGGTACGGTTTTCCCAACCTGTAGGTTGATGCAGTTATATCATGAAAGAAAGTTACGGAAATCATTGAACAATGAGCCCTGCATCAAAGCCTTGATTTTGTACATAGAAATGAGAAACACAAACCCTATATAAGTTGCACAAACTTTGAGTTTCATTGACTGCTGGATACATCTAGTGCTCAAAGTTGAGGTTGATTGTGGCTTATAGTTGTCCATTTATGAAGTGACTCTTAACTGATAAGATGTTTTAACTTATGGAACCCCCTCCAATGTACTTGCACTTTTTTTTGATAGCGAATATACTTTCACTTGGTTGATGAGTTGATGTAATGGTTCATATTTCTTTTTCAGTTTGGGCTTGATCACACACTAACAACTGGTGTCATCAGGTATGAGTTACTGCTTCAAGCACATGTAGTCAAATTTTATTACTGTAACTCTTAATATTACACCCATCAAAGATAAGGTCTGTTCATACATATTGAAGCATGCCACACTACTTTTTATTCCTTAATCATAGGCATAAACACAAATTACTGACAATTTTTGCATTTTACACGTTCGCAATGATCCAGGGAAATTGTTGTCCCTGGCATGGTTTTTATAATGATATCGTGGGTCATAATTTCGACGCAACTCTGAACACGCTTCCTTTTCACCTAATTTTCAGTGAACAATAGCTATAAATAAAATAAATAAGGAGAAATGTAGGGCAGGAGGTACAGGAGAAATGTGCATGAGAGAGAGAATCATGAAGATTTTCCTACTAAATAAGACTGCTGTTAAGTAGGGCCTGCTGCGAATCCCGACCAAAAGAGATAGATACAATTGCTAACAGTTATACATACATAACGCATTTGTGATGAGAACCTTCGATGTACATTCTGGGCATTTGAGCTTAACTTTTAAGGTACTGGTTTCCTTATTTGTAGTGGGCTAAGGAGAGAAATAAGCAGTGCTGCAACTGGGCGGCCGATCCAAGATGTTATCCAGACAGATGCCGCGATTAACCCTGGTAACAGTGGAGGGCCACTGCTTGATAGCTCAGGAAACCTTATTGGGATAAATACAGCTATATACTCTCCATCTGGTGCGTCATCTGGTGTTGGATTTTCCATTCCGGTTGACACTGTGAGTTACATCAATATACCTTTGTTTTAATCTCATCTAGGATTTTGAGGACTCCAAAATAATTTTCTTTTATTATTGGACATAATTTTCAATCATCTGTTCAGGTTGGTGGAATTGTTGACCAATTGGTTCAATTTGGGAAAGTTACAAGACCTATTTTAGGAATTAAGTTTGCACCTGATCAGTCTGTGGAGCAGCTGGGAGTCAGTGGAGTACTTGTCTTAGATGCTCCTCTAAATGGTCCAGCTGGAAAAGCGGTAATTCTGTCGCCATGTCCTTTTACCAACTGAGTTCGTAGATTGTGGAAATTTAGGTGTAGTTTGTATGTGTGGGTGTGTATATGCATGTGTGTGTCGTCTCGGGACCTGATTTATAACTCTTGTTCTTTTCAACCTTAAGAAGTCAGTCAGTCACCAATGGGACTTAGTTCTGATTAATCTCAACCTACAGGGTCTGCTACCAACAAAACGTGATACCTATGGAAGGCTCATACTTGGGGACATCATTACATCTGTAAATGGGAAAAAGGTCTCAAATGGAAGTGATTTGTACAGAATTCTTGACCAGTGCAAAGTGGGTGAAACAGTAAGTTGCAACTCAACTTTGTATGTTGTTATTTCTAATCTTCAGCTTCTTCCAATATTGGGCATTTTCTTGGTAGTTCATAGTTCACACTTTTATGTCATTCAAACTAATAGTTCCAAGTAGAGATGCACAGATAGGCCCAAGGACCAGGCCCGGCCTGACTAGGTCTGGTTATACGAAGGACCATTATTGGGCATATCGAGAAAGATTACTTTTTTTAGGTCAAGAGGTTGTGAGCGAGGTCTCGAACAGACCAGGCGTAAAAGCCCGATCAGTCCTACATTTTTCATCAAGGACCGGTTAAGGATCCGATATTGCATAACCTTGCCCAAGCCTGTTAATGGGCTTGGTCAGGCCAAGTCGAAGGCCAGTAAAAAAATTGAAAGTAAAAAAAACGGCTATTTTTTATAGTTTGTCTTTCTTTTAACGTGTTGAAAGACATCTATGCCCCTCATAAAGGCTAGTTTTAGGGGCATTGTACGAAATCTAATTTGTTAGGTTTATGTCTTTGTTAACTTGTAAAAAGACACTTATGGAAGTATATATGTTCTGTAAATCTAAAAAAAGTACTCCCTCTGTCCGGAAATAAATGTTCACTATAAAAACGTACATAGTTTTAGAAATGTGTAATATTACACTTTTTTAATAAACTAAGTTACACTTTTACCCTTAATAATAGAGAGAGTAATGAATTTCTCCATCTTATAATTAAGGGTAGAATTGGAATGTAGGCACTTATTTTTGAAAGGACATTTATTTTGGGAAAAACTAGAAATCTGGACATTTATTTTGGGACAGAGGGAGTAAAAAAATTAAATAGGACCAGTTAGGAGTTAGGACAGGCTAAGGACCAAAGGACCGGTTCACATCCAGATTTCAGGACCAGGCTCGTTTAATGCCTGGCTCAGGCCTTTGAAGGACCGGATATGCCACTTTTTGTTGGACTGGGCTTGGCAGGACCGGGCCCAAGACCGGTCTTAACCAATCTTTGTGCATCTCTACTTCCAAGTATGAAAGAAGCATGTTCATGGATTTAATAATATGTTTTAATTGTTTTGACTTGATGTATAAGAATATCAATTGAAAAGGTGCAGAACTGTCTTGAAGGACATAAGATTTAATTTTCCTTTGAACACCATCCACACATTTGTAATATAAGCTGTTTCTTGATGGTCAGGTCACTGTGGAGGTGCTGCGTGGTGACCATGTAGAGAAGATCCCTGTGCTACTTGAGCCAAAGGCTGATGAATCATAATTCCTCAAACTGTGAGGTCAGGTTGTGAATTTCTATTCATTACGAGAAATGTCTCGCTGTGTAATTTGACTTATTGTTTCCTTACTGAGTTACTGGGTCATGTACATAAATCTACACGCCTGTATTTACGTAAAGTTAAATACTATATAGATGTAATCCTTTGACTTCGAGAATGCTATTATAGTTGCTTTACCCTTGTTACCAACATGTGTTGCTTGTAACTTTACCATGGTCCATGAATATGTAGCTAGCAAATATTTGTACCTGATGTCAAGGTTTGCCGCTTGTTTAGGGTGAAATTTTGTTTCTCCCGAAGACGCTTTGCTTGTTGATAATGATTGAACCAAGTGATTTTGATCTGGCACATTTTCACTGGTGTGTTACTGGACGGGGGAGGGTGAGGTAAGCGATTTGAAAGGATTTTGCAAGGTTTTAGGGTTTTAATTTGACATGGTAGTTTAGTAATTTACCAATCTTGTTCATCTTCCTAATTTTTGTTTCACCTATTTTGGTGGGACAAAAAACCAAGCTCTGTCTTGGTCTTAATGTCGCACAAAATATGGGGCAACGAGTTTTTGTTCTGTCTTGTCTCGTCTCGTCTCGTCCTGTCTTGCTTATCGTACGCACCCTAATTGGCAATGTCTCTTACTTTTGTTCTCTTTTAAAAGAAAACATTGGAGGTGTGTATTAGATCGTTTCTACGGAATGACCTTTTTTATTTAATGTACTTCTAGTGATCAGATCACCAAAAGGTCTATTGTATTTTCTTGTTAATTTATAGAATACCGAGCTAAAAAGTAGCAGAGTGACTCCATGGTCCATCATGTGGAAAATTCTGGTTTTTATTACTGTGTCTTTTAGCAACAGCGCCTCCCTAAGGACACACCCTTTCTCATTTTGCTTGGAGAAATAAGTAATTAACACCAAAGTCCAGGTAGAAACACCTTACAGGCACACTGCCAAGAATAAACCAAACCGAACCAATCGAACCTGATGAATCCCTTATGAACTGGGATCTAGGGAGGGTAAGATGTATGCAGCATATCCTTTATCCCAAGGGGTAAAGAGGTTGTTTCCTTGGCACAATGCCAAGAATATAGAAGTTAAAATAGTCTATGGAGGCTGCAAAAAATAAACCTTTTTTGTTTTTGTTTTTTTTTTTTGGGGGGAGGGGGTTGTCATATTCTTGTGCCAAAGGCCATGGAATGGGCCATTACCAGATACCGGGTAATGAAGCATTCCTCAACAAATTGGGAGGAATAAAAACTCATTCCCCTTTCCATTCCCCAGCATTCCCATTCCCTGAAATGAACACCAAGTGTCCCCTGAATGTTCCTCGTCCCATCTTGATATAGCAGTCTAACAAATCAGGAGCAAAGAGACCGGTGATGATTTCTTACTTTATCAAAGGATGGGAAGAGCCTCTTGATACATGCTGTAGGAAGATTCATGTTTCTTGGTGGATGATAGAGGGTGTGAATTGTGATATGGATGCTTTAGCATCATGTAAATGTACTACCAGGCATCATTCGAAAGTCGGGTCGGTAGGGATATCATGTACTTGATTTTTCATCTACCCCATGGAGTAGAGAGGTTGTTTCCATGAATACCTTCGGTTTGTTAAAATGTTTTAGAGAGACAAGTTACTGAGAACCATTTTTATCTTTATTTACTTACCATTGTGATTGAATCTACGTGATTATGGTCTATTTGTGGAGGGACTTCCATGTTATCAGCCATATATAATCGGGTCATTTAATGAAAGTCGCTTTTACAAACTAACCTTTTAGTATTTTCTTCAAGATTTTATAGAGGCGGTGTGATTTACAGAAGAGGCAGGGTGTTTAACTCCAGAGGTAAGTCATTTGAAGGTTATTGAGTTAATTTTTTTAAAAAGGTTATGTTCTTAATTGAAAACTCATTTGAGGTTATTTAACTAAATAGCCCTATATAATGAGAGTCGACATCTTAGAAGAGCTTCCATTGCAGTATGGTGTCAACATCTTATACTATAAGGATTGGGTTCAAGCGAGAATAATGACCAAATAAGAAAACACGAGAACGGCTGAATGACATGTGGTTTTAGTGTAAAATCACATGTGATCCAACCTTGGCCGCAACAAGAGGTCGTATGCCAAGTTGCCCAGACACCCTTGCATTGATCATGTTCCATAATCACATGTGATTTTAGTGCAAAAGCACATGTAATTTGGCCGTTCTCATGTATTCTTATTTTGACCATGTTCTCGTTTGAACCTCCCTCTATACTAGAAAAGGAAAAAAAAGCAAGAAGAGCATAACAATATGCTTATATAGTAACGACTTGATTTATTATATAAGAAGTCACGCAATTCACTTTTTATTAGGGGAAATACATGTAGAGATAGTAGGTGAAATTTGGGTGGAACAAAGGAGTTGGGAGGGGGTCAGGGTAATGATGATATACAAACAAAGTGTAACTCAATCAAGCAGAGGTAGGAGGAGAAAGGCCGAACTCAAGTCCCCACAGCTCAAAGGTTCCGTTAACAAAATCGTAGTGTCCACCCTTGAGTGCCAGTGTTTTCTTCACCAGTCCATCTCTCACAAATGGGTAAGTCAGAAGATGTGCAAGGGATACATTCACAGCCTCCTGCATAGTCAACATCACACAGATTATTAGGTTGTGTTTGGCAAAAATAGCTGATAAGCCAGTCATATTTGGTAAAAACTAGCTGATAAGTTAGAAATAATGTAAAAGGACCTAAAAGGACATTGAATCAACGTCACACTAGATATTAGGATATGTATGACAAAGTGGCAACATCACACAGATTATTAGGTTGTGTTTGGCAAAAATAGCTGATAAGCTAGCTGTTGGCTGATAAGCCAGTCATATTTGGTAAAAACTAGTTGTTAGTTGATAACCTAGTCATGCTAGCTGATAAGCTAGATGATATTGTAAAACGGTCTAAAAGGACATGTTGATCAACATCACACACATATTATCAGGCTATGTATGGCAAACTGGCTGATAAGCTAGATGATATTGTAAAATGACCAAAAAGGACATGGTGAATCAACATTGCACACAGATATTTTTAGGCCATGTATGACAAACTGGCTGATATATCAACTAGCTGCTAGTTGATAAGCTAGTCATGTTTGGTAAAAACTGGCTGATTAGGTATATGATAACATGAAATGACCTATAAGGACGTATTGAAAAAAGGATTGGGCATATACAAAGGGGGTATTTGGAAAAAAGTGGGAAAAACTTCCCTAGCTTATTGAAACATTACTTGGAAGTAGCGATTCAAAAAAGCTATCTTATGGCTAACCAAGCAGGGCTTTTTCAATAAGCTACTTATGGTTGCCCAATATGGACTTAGTAGTTCTTAACACACACAGAGGAGCTAACTGCTAAGCTCATCAGAAGATTTCTTTACCTTTTCACAATGTACACATTGATCATCAACAGATGTACTACTATGCTCTGCTATCACCTTTGACTTTGCAGGGAGACAGACTTTCACCCAGTCCTCGATGAAATCACTGCCATCACATGAAGAATATGATATATGGGATCAGAATTGAAACAAGAAAAAAGAATGGTAAGTAAGCTGCACCCTAACCGTTTGCACACAGTAAGTGCACTTACGTGGTGTGAGGTCCTTTATCTGGGAAAGTCATCAGACCCTTGATCCCACCACAACGGCTATGCCCAATTACTACTATCTGCTCCACCTGCATCATTCAAACACGTAACTTTTAGGGTGCTTTTGGTACAACATGATGGTAAAATAACTTGTTGTCCATGTTTGGTGCGACATTAGACTGGGACAGCACATGAATAAAACAAAAATCAGGGAGATGCGTAAATTACTAAAATACCCATGTCAAATTAAAACCGTAAAACCTTCCACATTTCTTTCACTGCCTAATACTCACATAGTTACAGATTCTCTTTTTATATGCTGTTGCTTACTTCTAAGAGCATCTCCAACAGATTCTCCAAAATGGAGAAAATAGGTATTTTGGACATGTTTTTTGCTCCAACAAAAGTAAGAGACACTGTAAAAATCTCCTAATTTGGAGATCGCCCCAAAAATGATTACAATTAATGAGAGAGAGAGAGAGAGAGAGAGAGAGATGGTTTTTAATATATTTTCATCAATAGGAAACTTTGAAAATAAATATTTAAAGAGAGAAATAATACTTTATTAGATGAATGAAATATTTTAATAATATAATCAATGTTTTAATCTCCCAAATGGAGAATCTGTTGGAGTTGAATGTATTTTTGTCTTCAGAGATTTTGAAATTCCATTCTACATTTTGGAGAAATTTTGGAGAATCTGTTGGATGATGCTCTAACTAGTTTTTCAAATTTTAGCACCCCTTTCTTGATTTTCAAATCCTTTTTTCACACAAGTAGAGATCAGGTTCGCCTACATCCCATCCACCCCCAAGACCCCGTGTTATAACCCGATTCCCCACCTCTGAATGGGATATATTGGGGTTTCATTTCGTTTCGTTTGGTGTACTGATATGGGATCAGGTTCATGTGAGAATTAGAGAACCTATATTCATTGATGCATATACACCATGTATTTTGTCAATAAATATATTCATCAATGCATATCTACTATGCATTCAAGTATATATGTATTGATGCATTTACCAATTGAATTTCATTTCGTATATGCATCAATGAATTATGTCTAACTAAACGAGATTTCTTATGTTGAAAATGTAAAGCAACTGAAGTCTTGCAACAGGATGATGTAGATTACCTTGAGATGCAGAACTGCATACTCAACAGCAGCTCCTACTCCGGCATACTTTTCCTGTTCTTACAGGTAATTAAGAAAACTTTAATTAAATTGTGATTAATTAGATGATGATGATGATGATGAATGATTACAACTGTAAGTCAACCTGGTCAAAGGGAGGGACGATGTTGGCTACATTACGGACCACAAATGCCTCACCGGGTTGGAAATCCAGCACATGTGACGGGCAAACTCGGGAGTCCGAGCATGCAAACACCATAAACTGCCACATATCACCGGTATGTATATATTAGCAGCAAAGTTACAACTTATAACCCTTGGTATATCGACTGACCAAGGAAATTGTATAATACTCCCTCGAGTCTCAAAATATGTGTTCACATTTCTATTTTAGTTTGTCGTAAAATAAGTGCCCAAGTAAGTGTATGTTTTCCATTTCTACCCTTATTCATGAGACGGAGAAACTAGTTGCTCCCTTTATTGTTAAGGGTAAAACTGTCATTTGGGTAATAAAAATATGTAATAACTATATAATTATAAAACTGTGTGTTGAACATTTATTTTGGGACGGAGAGAGTATTTTATAGTAGGAAATTTTGCATCCCTAATTAATAGTTCTCCAGAAAGAGGCTAACCTTTGGGCTCTGGCCTTTGGCAAGTTCCCCATACAAGGCTGGATTTGTTCTGCATACAGTTCACACAACCATTTAATGCAAGAGTCTCTCTCCATTTTAAATGTAAGTATTAGTGTAAAACATAGGGCTTGTTTCTTAGCAGCTTAATGGGACTTACAGCTTATTCGAACAGCTATACATGATTGTTTGGTAGTGGCTTAATGATATATAAAGTGGCTTATTCAGTAAGCTTCTAGGGGAAGCTTTATGCAGAAAGCCAATTTTCTTTCAAACCTGCCCCTCCCAATTAAAAAACACTATCCTTCCATCTATGAAAAACCCATCCCAAACGAAAACCTTCCTGGTCTATACAGACATATTAAAACATAGAGGACTTAATAAAAAACCAACAAACAGCCCCTTACTCGTATTTCTCTGTCTTGAATTTGGCAAAACCTGTTTTGATCCTCTCGACAGGGTCAAATCCAGATTTGGAGCCGGGGGTTTGAAGTTCGGCCGTGATCTGGTCGATTTTTGCAGCAGCCACAGGTGCCAACTCCCCCTTCTCACTGTAGAACCATCATTAATTGTTGATCAAAATGAATTATGATTATGAGAATATGTGGAACCTTCTATTAATCTTCAAAAGAGCCCTTGAGGAGAAAACGAAGGTTCCAACATATATTGAAGAGAAATGGGCAAAGTCGAGCCGATGTGGGACTTTTAACACGCCCCCTTCAACAGAGGTTAGTTGATGGAGAATCATGTGATGAGTCGGTCAATTTGCGAGGAGGGTCAGGTTACATGTGATGCAGCACGTCCAAAAAGACGTGGGCGACTTGCTCAACGCTACGTGTTTGTATCACATGTGATTTGGCTCTTCTTGCATTTTTTTCTCACATTGACCATGATAAGTCGGTCGATTTATGAGAAGAGTCGGATCACATGTGATGCACATACGTCCAAAAGGACATGGGCAACTTGGTCAACGTGACCAAGGTCGCGGGAAAAGATGCTTGTGCTATGGCTCGTCAATCCAACGTATTTTTATCACGTGTAATTTAGCCCTTCTTATATTTCTCATAAATTTATCATGTTGCCTCTAAATTTATAATATATCAATTAAATATTATCTTATCTAATTTTAATTAATGTAAAGTGATGAATTTAGGATAAGATGGTGATGACATAGAGGATGTAAATATTTTTTTATTAAATTAATGAAAAACTATAAAAACACAATAATATGACAATAATCTGGAACAAGCCAACGGGGCCGTTTACCAAACAATTACCCGGTAAGTGCTTGTCGGTAAAACCTAACATTATTATTTACTTACTTGGTAAGATTTTAGTCCACCAAAACGACACTATATGCCACAATTTACCCGGTAAGCGTTTAACATGGTAAGAGTCGTCGACCTCACTTACCGGGTAAGACTTTTGGTTTTTGTTTCGCTCTCTCCGGGTAAGATTCTTGGTCGTTACCATAGCGCTTACCCAGATAAGCTTTTGATAAACGACCCCTAAATCTTGTTTACTGGACATATACGTAATTTTGATATAAAAGTAATATCAAACAAATAAATAATAAAAAACCAAGATAAATGCCATATGATATGATGTCTAGAAATGAAATTGTTGAATTTTTAAAATAACCAAAATTTCTATGCAATTGCTATTCTTTCTCCTAAGTTAAAAAAATATATGCAACAGATTTTTAAAAATAGAAAAAAAGAATGAGATTTGGCAAATTTAAGACCATATTTTTGTTCTAACGGATCCTACAAAATGAAGAAAGGGGTCGTCTACCAAACACTTATGCGGGTAAGTTTTATCGATAAAATTCAACATTATCACTTATTTATCATGTAAGATTTTAATCCACCAAAATTGTATCAAATGTAATAATTTACTCGGTAAGCGTTAACCGTGGTAAGAGTCATCGCTCTTACTTACCAAGTAAAGACTCTTGATACTTGCATTTGCTCTTACTGGGTAAGATTATTGGTATGTACTATATTCATCCAGTAAGGTAATGTTACTTGATAAACGTTTACCCGGATAAATGTTTGGTAAACATTCTACAGAGAAGCTAAAAAATCATAGATGTATAGAACTCTTTAATGTAATTTTTTAGTGGAGAAATTGTTTCTTTATTATTTTTTAATCAATGGAGTTAACCGTATTATCATTTTACATAATATTTATTTGAAATTGTATTAAGCTATTGATCTATTAACTATTTTAATAATTATAATATAATTAAGGCTTTAATTTTTTTAATATGAAGAAATTGTTAAAGTTAAATGTAGTTTTTTAATCATCCATTTTAAAGAAATTTTTTGTAATTTTGTTAGTGATGCTCGAAATTTCTAATATACCTTTATATATTTAGGAGGTTCAGGAGAGGATTTTTTAAAAAATTAAAAACTGAGGAACAACATGGTAACCATTTATCTGGATGATATGTATATGTGTATATAAGTAACTGAAGTCATTTCTCGGTTTTTATGCACATGTACATTTTATGCACATGTACATACTGGACAAATTACTTGTATAGACATATACATATCGTTCAAATAAACGATTATCAGGATGTTTCTCAGTTTTTTTTTTTTTACATTTTTCTCATGAAAATAAGCCTTTATATTTATGAATATAAAGATATATGTAAAAGTTAAGTCGGTTACCTTAGAAGCTTCTTGAGTGCAGTAATTGCCTCCTCGTATGATTCAGTTCCCATGTCTTCTCTCTGCATATATTATTTCACAACTTTATTTTGTATAATCGTAGATGAACTTGTTCACTAGCATTGCATCGATTTCATATTTATATCTGTTTTCTGAACCTTAAAATTAGCAAGTTTCAAGATTGCCTTTTTGGGTGTTTTTATTGAGACATTTATGATATACCCTCATTATATATCTAAAGCCAATGCATGTAATAAGCGTTTATTTGACTCGTTTTTTTTTATTAACCTGGATGTTCAATCCGTTATGCGAACCGACTAATCCTAGGACGACCACCTGCTTTGCTGATAGCCTGGAGTCACAGCATTTGAACCTTCGTGGCCACAAGGGGATTTTTATTCCTCCTTGGATTTGAACATGTGACCTCCTGGTACTTTTGACCTTTGGAGCCAAGCTCAAACCAGTCAGGCACCACCCTTGTTATAAAAAATGGTAGGGAATGAAATGAGAATGGATTTTCTTTCCCCTCCAATTTAATTGGGGATAAATTTTGGGTTTCTGTGGGAATGAGCTCATTATATTATTCTTTATTTTCATTCCATTGATTATTGCTTAATATCTTTAACCAGACACCCCTAAACTAGTTGTTTTGTTGCTAAACTAACTAGTTATTAGTTGATAAGATTAGTCATTTTTTGGTGTGCTTTTTCTTACTTTTTAACAAGGCATAGCATGTTATCTTAATTGCAATACTTGTTGTTTAAACGAATCTCCAAATTTGGTAATACCTCTTAATGGTACGTTAAAACAAGCATAGTTGTTGAAGATGCTCTGATCTAATAAAAACGGTCTAATTTTCTGATGAAATTAGCTCCGTGTGTCGGTGTGTGTGAGAGAGAGAGAGCATATATGTGTGTACCCAAGTGGGGGTGATGATCGGAGTCGGAGCGGCAAAAACCGGCTGATTACGGATGAGGCTAGGAGGAGGAGGAGTTGCCGATGACGATGAGTTGTTGCTCAGCCTTGCAAAGCAACTAACAACGGTGGAAGATGACGACGGTTTCTGGTGAGATACGGTGGCGAAGCAAGGTGTAAATGCGGCGGCCGTTGCAGACATTGATCACCACCACGACGGAAAGGGAGTTGATGTGGATCATCGGAGTTTCTGATTGGGTTTTTATACTAAAATCAGTTTCGTTAGTGTGTGCATGGATAATCCGAGAGATAAAGTTTGGACGTACCACAGGACTCCACGTGTCTCCTTTTCATGCATTTTTACACGTATTTTTTTAATTTCTCTCATTATTTGTATTATCCAATTATAAACAAACCTTATAATACGTCTATTGATACATGAAATTTAAACTTAAACGTCTATAAATTATAATTTTTTTAAATTTTTTGAAAATGAAGAAATAAATGTCAAAATAGTTTCATTAAGAGGCTATTTTTGAATCGTTAAGATGTGTAGCGAAACAAAGTCTGTTTCTTAATGGTTTTAAAATCTTCCGAAGATTTTGTATCTTGGGCTTCCCTAAGCCATTCGGCATTCTAATTTCATTCTGAACAATTACCAAACAACCATATTTCATTATGAACTATATGATAAGAGTCTCTTGGTCATTTTAACCACTTAATCATTTTGCATCAAACCATTAAGCAACTGCCAAACAAACCTTAATTAAAATATGTTTCTCTTTGCTTCCATTTAAATTCATTTATATGTTTATGAGGTTTAGAAATAGCGTTAAAAACATTTTACCTCAATTTTATTTCGGAGAGTTCTTCAAATTTGGAGAAAATCTCTCTCTCTCTCTTATTTTTTAATATTTTCGTGAAGTTGTTTGAGTAACGAAAAAGTTTCTCGATTTCGAAATAGCTGTTGGAGATGTTGTAACAGACAGAGCTCAATGTCTGTGTCCTGCAAATTATACATGAAAACCCAAAGCAAAATAAAGTTTTTAACTTGATTAATCTTCACCAAAAACGGTCAAACTCCAAATTATCTCAATAACGCTTCCTTACACATACACACAAATCTTGAGGCGTAAATAACAGTCAGTGGTATCATACAGAGAACCAATTCGTAAATCATTTTTGGGTTCATATGATGTTGTTCTGTCTGATTATAACCATGATAAACTAATTTTATATCAGTATAATTTAAATCAGTAACAGTTAAATATATACGATTTGAATACGAAAATCGACATATAATATCTAATAATAAGATGGGTGATAATAAGAGGGATAAGGTGTTATCTATACAACATGGTTGAAGATGTAGATGGTGTTTTCAACCATCACAAATCTATGGATCACCTTCATTTCCATTTCTAGCCTTATCCTTCACAAATTTTAATTCAAAGGAAAAACAAGAATCTGTATTACACTATGCAATCACAGCGTGTTTGAACGAGAGTAGTACTATGATGGGGGACTCACCCCTTTAGATAAAAAAATCATCATTTACATACATGACTCTTAAAGTCAAACATCTCAATTGACTAACGAAAAACGTACACAAACTATTTTTTTCCTCTGAATTTTTGAAAAACTGATGTCGATGTATATAATCCTCTCGTTCTCTGCAGTTATCACAGTTGCACCTGTCGCTGCTGCCATCTCCATAACGGTCACCACCGTCTCCACAACCGTGGTTACCAACATAGCAACAAATGGGTTGTAGTTCTACAAAATCATCTTTGACAATTTTGGCATTCCACAAGAGTGCTTTTGGAGATGGTGGCAGTGGAGGCGGTGGTGATCGTTACGGAGATGGTGGTAGTGGCAGGTACATCGGCGATGACAAGGCAGAAGACAAGAACGTTTTGGATGGATATATGAAAGAAGCGATCAATGTCGTATAGTGATTCTCAGACCGTCACAAACTTGGAATTGAAAAATCATCTTCGTTTAGCAATGTAAACGAAAAACTACAGAATCCCATATGTATTCATCTGATTCGCCCAAAAGACATAAATAAAAGATAAATCATGAACTAAAACCCAACACCCAAAAAGGTGTCGTTCAGCAACACGTTATAAATCTTACATCAGAATTGTACAACGAAACGTATATACACGTTACGAGTACAATTCTGATGACGAGACATTGTGGGAATATGAGTAGGAGAAGCGCTTATAACGAGTTGAGTGCCGTTTGCAATTGGTAACATGTCGACATTCTTTTGCCATTCTTACGAAATATGGTTTTATTTTTATAATTAAATATTAATAAATAGAATAATATTTTCTTATTATTTAAAGAATAAATTGCATGAAAAATAACTTGATTCTTATTTTGAGTAACGTACTTATAAAACTTTCATTTTGGTACTTAAGATGTAAAGTTTTAAACATTTAAGTACCCGGGTAACCAGTTGAAATATTAACCAGTTATCATGCTGATGTGACGAGTGATGTGATATAGAATTCAGTTTATTTGCTGACGTGATTAGTGACATAGTTTTTTTTATCTAAAATTAGTCTTCAACCGGTTACCTAGGTATTTATATGTTTAAAACTTTACATCTTAACTACCAAAATGAAAGTTTTGAAAATATGATATCTAAAATAAGAATTAGGTTAAAATACGTTACTTTTTCATGTAATTTAACTCTTTTTAAATATGGTAATTTGAATATAATTGGGTTAATATTAAAAGAAAATGCATTTGGATCTATAATTTACAAGTTGCAAGGCATTAAATATAATTAAATTAAATTGTTATGATATAATTTAACGTTATTAAATCGGTATTATCTATCTACTTTTTCAATTCCCTGTCTACATTTTGTTAGTTTTATTGTCGATATTTCGTTGTGATAAAAACATACGGTCTGTAGAGATGTAGATTTCATTACCAGATATAATTTAGAGGTCTTAAATTTGAATCTTGTATGTATTTATTATCTGAATAAAATGTTTCAGTTTACCTGTTTTTATACTAGAAATTGTTTCATGAAATCAGTATAGAGAATTTATTATAATAAAATATAAAAAAAAATGTCTTATATTTTCTATTTTAAATGGATATGTTATAAATGCTCTTAAATATCTTAATATTATAATTTATACTATACTATAAAGCATTTGATAAGAACTCTTAAGAACCATTTTTTATGCATAAAGTATTGTTTATTGATTCATATTACTTAAAATTCAAGATTATAAGTAAATTGTGCGTAACCACAAGGGTGGTGTCTGATTGGTTTGAGTTTGGCTTCAAAGGTCAAAAGTACCAGGAGGTCTCAGGTTCAAATCCAAGGAAGAATAAAAATCCCCTTGTGGCCACGGAGGTTCAAATGCGGTGACTCTGAGCTATCTGCAAAGCAGGTGGTGGCCCTGAGATTAGTCGGCTCGCATAATGGGTTGGATATCCAGTTTAATAAAAAAAAAGTAAATTGTGCATATGTACAACTTATTAAAACTTCATGTTTGAATTCGTGTAATTAACTGCAGATAAACATAATTAAATATACGATAAACATCTCATTTTAATTATAAAAAATCTAAAATATAATTAGGATAATCATTGAGTTCTAACAGAAGACTTATTATTATCTTCTTTATAAAAAAAAATTATATTATTATACAAAAAATAATTGCTTTGTTATTAAACTTGAAATTTTATATTATTAAACGAAAAATTATATTATGTTATTTTTTCAAATTTTTATGATATCTTCAAATTTATATTTTATTCAAAAATGAAAACGTTATCGCTTTCTTAAAACCACATAAAATCGTATTCTGACATCGATAGAGATAAGAATAAACGAAACATTGAGATCGATATGTATCTCACTTTCTTAGATATTTGTAATATTATTTTTAAAAAAATTAATAGATTTATTTCTGAAATATTTTAATATTACAAAAAATGTTGAAGATTCTGTTTGTAATTATGAATATAATTTACTTGCAATTTGAGACTTTGAAGGGTGTTGAAGACCCCACAAAATGAGCGGAGCATCCGGAAATGCATTAAGCATTTGATTCTATGAAGACATTAACACATGTTTTCCATTATAATTCTTTTTTTTTTATTTTTTTTTTTATTTTTTAAATTGAACATGACAACGTAAACATCGTGTTCTGTTTCAAACGTGATGTTACCTTTTAAAAATTGTTCGTTACGTGGGACGGAGTTTTGACTTTGAATGTGGAGCTACGGTTGGACGTTATAGCTTTAGACGTTTATAAAGATATAAAGGGCGGGCGGATGTATAAAAGCCTGATAAGGGTTTTTGTGCATCCGTTCAAACGGTTTTGGAAGTAGAATCTTTTTTGGGGTATGAAAAAAGTGAATTTGTTAGACTTTGAGGGGTGTTTGATCACAAATATTAGAAAATACGTGAAACATCAACTAGAAAACAGAAAAAGTCTCTCGAAAGTAATAAAAAAACACTGAAAAAGCCCATCGAGATTAACAAAAAGAACTTGTAAAATCTCATGAAATCAACCAAAAAACTTTGAAAAATACCTCGAAATCGACTAAAAAGATTAAAAAAATCCCTTCAAACTATGGAATTCCGCTTAAACACATCAGACGACTTTGCAGCAAAAAACTTGGGTCCGTCCCAGAAAAGATGACATGTGATAGGAGTTCTTAAATACAAAAGATAAGAGGAAGGGATCTAAAGGTTTGTTTCCGTTTATTGTATGTTTTATCTCTGTTTTATTGCTTACTCATAAGTCATAACTCGTTTTCACTTCTTTTTCGCAAGTCTTATCCTTTCCTTTGGCATACGTGGCATAAGCCATAGGTATTTCGTATTCATATAAGCAGTCGTTCTATTAAAGAAGAGTTCAGGTCAACATATATAGGGATAGACCTATAGTGGTGCATACGGTGGCACGTGCCACCATATTATTCTTCCAGTAAAAAAATTTAGGTTCGTGAAAGATACAATCGTATTAATTTGTTGTATGTCATCGTATGTATTCTGAAACTATAATGAGAACAAATTTTATTTGGTATAGTTGGTTTGCAAAACTTTTATTCCACCCCAGACCCAAGCTCGAATCCTGTTAATGTCATTTTCTTAGTTAAATGGTGTCAACGTTTAGAAAAAAAATTCGTATATTTGTTTCTTATAGTCAAATGGTGCCATCATGTGAAAAAATTTCACTATATCTTTTTCTTTTAATCAAATGATGTCACCGTTTGAACAAAAAATTGTGTTCGTCCCTCAACGTGCATCTCAGTATTTCACCTTCCTCGGATCCCACCTCCAACTAGGTTTGTTTAATTTGATTCGAACAAACTTTTGACTAGGTCAATTTGCACTTCCGCATTACTCTAACTGTGTTTGTTGATCGAAGATCGAAACCGTTGGCAACTCATTGATTTCTTTCTAATGTTAATGTCATTTTCTTAGTTAAATGGTGCCAACGTTTGGAAAAAAAAAATCACATATTTGTTTCTTATAGTCAAACGGTGTCACCATTTGAAATTGTTTCACTATATCTTTTTCTTTTAATCAAATGGTGTCACCGTTTGAAAAAATAAATTATGTTCGTCCCTAAACATACATCTCAGTCCTCGGATCCCACCTTCACCTGGGTTTGTTTAATTTGGTTCGAACAAACTTTTGACTAGGTCAATTTGCACTTCCGCGTTACTCTATCTGTGTTTGTTGATCGAAGATCGAAGCCGTTGGCAACTCGTTGACTTCTTTCTATCACGCGTGATACTAAATTGAATATAATTCATTACGATAACATCTAATCGTACTCTTAGTATTTTTATTATTTATTTGCATTAATTAATCAATGGGTTTTTTTTCCCTAATATGTGGAGTAAGATTGCAAATAAATATTTAAACACGTGTCATAATTTAAATAGAACAAGTAGTAGAGATAGATCAAGGACCGTTGATTTTCTTAATTTTTAATAATTTGGTTTAGCAAACCTTTTACGACCAAATGGTACTAAAATATGAACGTTATCTTGTTTTAATAAAAATAAGTTTCATTATTTAAATATTTAATTTAATTATTATTGTTGTTTTTATTTGAACAGTGTTGTTAAGTCTTGATCTACGAAAATGACTTTTTTATCATATAATAATATGGTATCTGAGTTTCCTATGAGCAACAAAAAACTGTTTTAAAATCAGATAAACAGTTCACCAGCAACCCGTTTTGGGTTTTAATAGTAAAATGCGTTGAACGATGAAAATTTAATGGAAAGATTGATTATAATTTTACTGTATTACATGAATTTAAGTGAGATTGTAATTTTTACAAGACGTTTGTTTGTTTTAAAATAAGTGAAACATTTGATTTTGAGTATATTTTTATGTGTTTTTTTTGTGTTAACAATAGGTGTTTGAACCAATTTATGTATATCTCGAATAATCTCATAAGCCTTGGAAATCAATCAGAATTTTTTTTAAATAAAGGACTCAAAACGGATAACTTTTAAGAAAAATCCCTAAAAAGTCCAAGGTTAATTTTAAAGTTGTTTCATTAATAATGAGATGTCAAATTATATTAAACTAATGGATTGTTTGGTAGTTGATGAATAGTTTGTTGCAATATAATAGTTGTTTCAGAATGTTTGGCTTGTTGGATTGTCCGGATTTGAAATCTTAGGATTTAATTGAAACCGTCAAATATAGGATTTTGAAATCCTTAAGGAGTGCTTGGGATTTTACGGGATTTCCTAGAATTGTATGCAATAAGGTTTTAAAAAATGTTAAAAACATTTGTTTTGTAATAATTGATTAATAAAAATGTAATTCAATTATTTTTTAATTATTTATAATTTTTTCTATAAATTATTTATAACAATGAAGTCCAATTTCATTCTAAATTATTTATAACAATGAAGTCCAATTTCATTCTAAATTATTTATAACAATGAAATCCAATTTCATTCTAAATCATTTATTTATAACAATGAAATCCAATTTCATTCTAAATCATGTAAACCAATCACATCAATGATTTCAAATTCATTACAATCCAAATCCCTTCAAATTCAAATATTTTCATGAAATCCAAATTCCTCGAAAACAATCTTGCAAACCAATCGGATCTTTAATGATCCTGAAGCTAGCTCTTAATCGAACTATTAAAAGGTAAACAAACAACCCTAACGTAAGTTGTTACACTTTTTATCCAATGGCCTTTCGGAAACCTATCTTCAAAAACTTGATTTTAGAAAACATAATATATCTTCGATTCAATTGAAAAAGGTATTATATTCATAACAAGAAATCTATTTTGAAAAAAACTACAATTTTTTTTTGAGATACTTTATTGTATGCACCAAAAAATGATGATCATAATACATTTTATTTAATTGGAATTTAACCATGATTATAAATGAATGTACCTCAACGACCTTGTTCACAGTTTTTTTCTGTAAAATTCAATGGCGTGGACGAATTACAGAACATGGAGGGAAGACCCCCAAAAACCGGCGGGAAATCCGGTAATTAGTCAACGCAGGGAAATGCAAAAACAGATGAAGATGTTATCGGAAGATATGAAGATTGAAGACATCAATGGAACTTGTATGACATAGATTACAATGATAATAAGTAATATATCTTTTAGATCACAGGAATTCGACTTTGATGATTTAGAATGGCAACTTCTTATTTCCACTTCCGTTAACTTTGACGGAAAATCCTAGGAGATCTTGCCTGTAGGGTAGATACGATTTCATCTTTTCTCCTTTCTGTTCTGCTCTTTTTTGAACGTAAAATAGTTCGTGAAACGACGGAGATGACGCCGTTTTCGACTTTCCGGTGACTTTGCGAACTTCGCGGGACTTGCCGTACCGTTTCCTGTTTGAAGCCTCGACTCTCTTAGGACACAAAAAGAACACCGTCTCTGACCCTGTGCTGTTGCTCCGGCGAAGCAAATCCTTAATTTTCCAGGTTCTCGAACCAGATCCAGTAGACCTACTCTTCTTAGCAAGAGTTGGCGATCCAGCGTTAGCCTTACGCCACGACACACAGAATGTTCCAGAAGGCCTATCTTCCAAATCATCCACTTCTGACGACGAAGACGATGACCTAGATTCATCGCTATCATCGACGAACAACTTATGTAACGGAATGATGAGAGAATCAACATCATGCTCATCATCTACTTCCTTAACTACACGATCTACCTCATCCTTCGTTACTAGATCGCTGTTGAAAATCGGAAAAAGTAACCGACCGGCGAGAGCGAGCTCTTCCGCTGAAAATTCTTCGCCGGCGAACTCCAAGGAAAACTCGAAATCCTCTTCATCAACCTCACTAAATTCCTGAAATTCATCAATCCGTTCCTGCTCAACTTCACGGCTGACTTTGGCGGCCGCCTTGGCCGTCAAACTATCGGAAGAGTAGCAATTGAAGCTCGGAGACACCGTTATGTCGTTGATTTCTCCGGTGAGTTGCATTTTTTCTCTCTATTTCTTTGGATCTTTGAAAGATGGATAAAAGGGTTTGATGTGAAATGCAGGTCTTTCTGTAGGAGGAGGTATTTATAGGTGGGGGATGCGTTTTTTAGCGCGTCAGGACTATTTCTAGAAGACAAAATAACCACGCGCTTGCAAACGTCATCATGACGTCATCGTCAAACTAGTCATTGTACAACGTGCTGTGATGGTTGTACCTACTCTTTACTGAACCGGTCCTACTCGGTCAACAGGTCAGAAAATATGGAAAAATATTTATTGCTATTGGTACATTTTTAGTAAATTACGTTTTTAGTCCCTATAGTTTTTTGAAATCGCTATTTTTCCCCTATAATAATGATGAATTGACGATTTTCATCCCCAATAATTTATAAATTTAGGGTCTAGCAGAGTCGAGTATTAGGTTATTGGATCTTGGTTCGGAAAAATTATACCAAGGTGGAACTAGATTCGCGTGACTTTTTCAATGTAGAGCTCGAGCTCGATGCTCGTTTATGGGCTTGTAGTCGTGATCGATTAACTTGTTTATTGGTTCGAACTTGATAATTTTTATATTTTTCTTGTATTATTTATAAACATATGGGCATGTTTGGCTCGAAAAAGTATATGATTGAATGGATTGACTTGGATCAGTTCGACTCGAATAATTTAATCGAGTTTTCGAACGAGCTGGGTCGAACATTGGTTTTATCAAGTTCGAGTCCTTAAGTTAAACGAGTTTTGTTTTGTTTTCGAGATCGACTCAAACTCGAGAATTATTAAGCTCGAGCTCTAATAGCTCGTTAAAACTMGACTTGTTTACACACCTATTTATAATTCATCTTTTTCGCCCTTATGATTTGCTATGTGTTGTTGTTTTCGTCATTTCGATTGACAATTCACTGATGTTTTGTCACTTGATACTTAAATGGTAATAAATTGCAAACGATATGAACGAAAACTACAGTTCCAACAACAACAAAGAAAAAGTTGTAATTTATATAAAATTATAAAGACGAAAAACATCGTTTATTCGTTTCCACTAATAATATTGAATTATTATTATTATTTTATAGACATTCTTTTTAAAACGTGTATTAAAATGATAAATTTATATAATATTTTAATAATACAATAAATTTTAAAATCTAAAAATAGAGAATATATTAGAGGTAAATGTGACTCTTTTTTTTAAGTATAAAATATTTATATACAGCAAATGCAACAAAAAAATTCACACATCATCCTCACATTTGGTGAGTTTTAAACCTCTGGCCTCCTTGGAGGCCAAAGACTACATGTTTAGAAATTTTGGTCTTTTAATTTAAATAAGTTATAGAAAATATGTTGGAGATGCTCTAATAACATTTTTTACCCGTGCTTACGATGTATATGTTTATTTAGGGTTGGGTTTACGTGAGACCAGCTTGTTTTCGTGAGACCACTTTTTTACACTTTAAACTTCACAACAAAACGCTGTTAATGTAAAAAAAACGAATCTTTACAGCAAAAACACTGTGAATGTCTGTGAATCTTCAAGTGTAAAAAATGGTTTTACCAAAACAGGTTGGTCTCACGTGATCTCAAGTCTATTATTTAATTTTATTTATCTTAATATCACAAAAATTAAATCAATTTTGTGTGGCAACTAAACATGTGAATGTTGTTTATAAGTATCCACGGCTACAATAAAAGAGGTTATATAACATTCATATTTACATAAAAATGCGATTTATGTATTGATTCTATAATTTGACGTCTTTTATAATCATAATATCATAAAACGCTAATTGATTAATTAGTAGAATTGAGAAAGTTTCATGTTTGAATTCGTGTAACTAACTACATATAAACATAATCAAATACATGATAAAAATCTCAGTTTAAATATAAAAAATCTAAAATGTTTAGGATAATTGTTGAGTTCTAACAAAATACTTAATTGTTATCTCTATAAAAAATTATATTATTAAACCAATAATAAAAAATGAATTAAAAAAATGTAAAAAAAAGGATATTTTTAAGTAATTAGTTTGGTACTAATATCAGTATTCGTTTTTCAAAATTTTATGATATCTTCATATTTATATTTTTATTCAAAAATAAAAACATTATCATTTTCTCAAAATCATATAAAACCGTATTATAACATAGACTGAGACAAAAATAAATTAATTAAACATTAAAATCGAGATGTATCTTGTTGTATTGTACGAGTACCGTTCTTTTGTGTGTGTGTATACACTTTCTTTCTCACACAATCTTTCGCGTATATATGCGAAAGATCATGTAAAAAAGAAATTTATGGTGAAAATATAAGAGATTTGAACTCTTGATTACTTTTAGTCTCACGTCCATTCACTGATTGTGTTTTTAGAAGATAATTGATTCAGTGTACCTCAGTGCACCTCATTAGTGTTGATATTCAATTAGGATTGATTCAAAAGTGAATATTTTTTCTTACGCTTTTCACCATAACTTTTCTTCTCACGGGAATCCAACCATATATATATATATATATATATATATATGTATATATATTGAGATCCGTAAAAATGTTACAAACCCATAAAAATATATATCAAAATCTTTTTTATATGATTTAAGACACTATTTCTGTGTATGTTTGTGTTCACTTGCATTAAGAAAAATAATATATGTGAAAGTTGTTTTCTTTCATATTATAGAACAAAAAACACACGTTAAAAAGTTTCACATTGGGAAACAAATACATGTGAATCTAACATCTTGTGAAACAAATACTTAGATCCTAACGTTTGATAATAGAAAAGGATGTAAAACGAATATTTCTAAATGGGTTCTCATTAGTTTCTAACTTCTTGTGATTCTTGATTATGTGTGTGGAGGTTCAAACGATAACATGTACATTTTTACAAAAAAAAAAAAAAAAAACATATTTATTACATGTGATAATGCAGTGACTTAATTTGTGACTTAGGTTGTACCGAAAGTTGCCTGTGTATGATTTAATATTAAATGTGGTTGACTATGATAAAAAGTTGTTCTTATATTCTTCTCACATTAACTCTTATTCTTACACGATCCATCATTTTGTGTGTGGGTGTGTGTGGGTGTATATATATATACACTAAAAGGGTATTTGCGCAATGCAGCGAGATATATCTTGATTTTAATGTTTCGTTTTATATTTTGGCTCTAACGATGTTATAATGCGATTTCATACGGTTTTAAGAAAACAAAAATGTTTTTATTTTTTAATAAAATATAAATTTGAAGATATTATAAAAACTTTAAAAAAATTAATCGATATTAGTATCAAATTAACTATTTACAAGTTATCATTTTTGTGTAATTTTTTTAATTCAATTTTTATTATAATTTGATTGAAGTTTAATAACAAACTAATTTATTTTTGGTTTAACAGAATAAATTTTAAGATAATAATTAATTGTTTTGTTATAACTCAATTACTATCCTAATTAAATATTTTAGATTTGTTATATTCAAAATGATATTTATCGTGTATTTGATTATGTTTATCTGCAAGTAGTTACACGAATTCAAACATGGAGCTTTAATAAGATGTACTCACGCACATGTATTTGTAATCTTGAATTTTAAGTAATATGCATCGATAAACAGTATTCCGTGCATAAAAATTGGTTTTTAAGAGTTTTTGCCAAATATTTTATAATATAATATAGATTAAGCTAAAGTATTGTATGTGAATTTGAATTGATATAACAAGTTAGTGGTTATCAAATTATCTTGTCTTTAATATGTTAAATTGTAGATTCTAAGAACTCATTGTTGTGCTCTCGATACCACTCATATAATCAGTAGATCGAAAACAATGCAAAAACAATGACAGGAGTTAGGATAACGACGGTTGCCCACTTGCCCTCCTCAACGACGGTATACGGGTCTCAGTTCACATTGTTGTTCTCTCTGTACCACTCATATGATCAATAGAGTGGAGACGATGCAACAACAACGATGGAAGTTAGTAAAACGATGGTTGCCTACTCGACTTCTCGAACAATGGTAGTAGGGGTTTCAAATCTGTTCTCTCCATACCACTCATATGATCAGTAGAGCTAAGACGATGCAACAACAACAATGCATCGGAAACAGGATAACGATGGTTGCCTACTTGTCTTTCTCCAACAATAGTGGTAGGGGTTTTCGTTAACATCGTAGTTCTCTCCACACCACTCGTATGATTACTAGGGCGAAAACGACGCAACAACAACGATGAGAGTTAGGATAAGAACGGTTGCCTACTTTCTTTTATTTGAGGAATGCTATATGTACTCATTTTATGTTAAAATCAGGTCAAATCATGCATATAGGATGTTGATGTGTCAGAGAACAAGAATTAATAAATAAAAGTGAATTTAACTAACCCTTTTTATTTTTTTTTACGTCTTTTCTTTATTAGTGTATTTTGTTTCTTCTCATATTCTTAAATTTTATTTTTTCTTGTTTATTATTATCAGAATGGTACTCATGCAATGAAGCGAGATATATCTTGATTTTAATATTTTGTTTTATTATTTATCTCAATCAGTGTTATAATATGGTCTTATATGATTTTGAAAGAGCGATAATGTTTTTATTTTGGGTTAAATGCATGATATAGCAACCTACTTTCATAAAATTTCTTATTATAGCATTCTACTTTTGTTTTTCTTTATTACAGCAGTGTACTTTCAAATTATTTTTTATTAAGGTATTGTACTTTAAAAAATCTACCCATAATAGCAATGACTAACTTGTTACCTTTTAAACCGGTTAACCCTTGACTTTTTTTGCTTATGTGTTTTTAATGGGGTGATGTGGATGACACATCATTTTGATGACTTAACTAAAATAAAAATAAAAACAAAAATCTATTTCAAATTATTATTAGTTATTTTCATTTTTCATTGCTATAATCTAATTTTTTTTTTACTTTTTCTTATTAAGTTGAATGCAAATTAAATATTTAAGAATAAAATATTTCTTAAATAAATATAAAACATTATTTTCGAGATATATTTTGTTTGTAAAAAAAGTAACACTTCTTACTTTATGTTGTTCAAATAAATACATATCTTTTAAAATTATCTTTAAATTGTTAACGAAATAAATTGTGATCTACAATTTTTTAATATTGTTATATTAATAAATAATTCAAAAAAATCAAATTAATTTAACAAATTTATGCATCAAGTAAAACTTTTTGAACAAATATAATATATTCTTTAAAAGATAATATTTTTTGGTAAAAAAATAAACAATTCTTATTTTCTTTTTTCAGAAAACACATATTTTTAAAAAAAAATATTAACGAAATAAGTTGTGTTCTACTAGTTTTATTGATACTGGTATATTAATGAATAATTTTTTTTACTTCATTTAATATATTTATTAAATAACATGTAAAATATCTAAATATTAAAATTAAAAATACAATGTTTAATAAGAACTAGTATATGCTATAATAAAATAAATTTAAAAGTACAATGATGTAGTAAGAAAGTCACATCATTGTAGTATATGTGGACAACCTATATGGACAATGAGGTGGCATGGAAACCTGGTATAATGGGTAAATTTAAATCAAAAGGTTATCCAATGTTATAATGGGTAAATTTTTTAAAGTACAATGTCTTAATGAAAAATAGTTTGAAAATACATTGCTATAATAAGAAAAACTGGAAGTACAATGATATAATAAAGAAATTTATGAAAGTAGATTGCTATTTTGTGCATTTTGCCCTTTTATTTTTGAATAAACTACAAATTTAAAAATATCATAAATATTTGACAGAAATATATCGATATTAGTATCAAATTAACTATTTAAAAATTTTCTTCTTTTGTGTAATTTTTTAATCCAATTTTTTTATTATAATTTAGTTTACGTTTAATAATGTAATTTTTTATAAAGATAATTATTTATTATTTTGTTAGAATTCAATAATTATCCTAAGTATATTTTAGATTTTTTTATATTTTAAAATGAGATGTTTGTCCTCTATTTGATTATGTTTATCTGTATTTAGTTACACAAATTCAAACGTAGAGTTTTAATAAGTTGTACTTACGCWCAATTTACTTGTAATCTTGAATTTTAAGTAATATACATCAATAAACAATACTTCATGTATAAAAAAATGGTTTTTAAGAGCTTTTGTCAAATACTTTATAATATAATATAGATTTCCTTGTTCATTTAATCTATTTTATGTATATGGTATTGTTTTTCTTCCCTTTTAGCATACACTCTCTTGTATGTAACTTATTTTCAAAGGTTTTCATGGAAATGGAAATGACATCTCTATCCTTGAACAGAGATATACATCCTATTCCCCAACCCTATTGCAAATCCTCCCAAAATGTTGATTACTCTTGTTTAATATAAAACATAAATACATACTTCTTTTATTTTAACCGTAGATGCTCGGGTTACTTTTGTATATCTCGACCAACCCTGAAGGGACCTCGAGAACAGAATGGACTATCTCCTAGGGGTGTTCGTGGTCGGTTTGGGTAGTTTAACCGCTAAAACCATAAACCAAACTGCAATGGGGTTTACAACTTTTCTATACCGAACGGTTTGATAGTAAATAACTAAACCGGTCAAATCTCCAAAAATAAAATTTCTACAATATCGCATTATTAAAAAATCTATACCCGAATTATAAAATAAACATTTATCTCTAAAATTATAAGAAAAACAGTGAGAGAGAAAAAAAAACTAAACGAGTCCATTAACAATAGTTAGAATTTTGGATAAATATCGAACAAGTTGAAGAACAGTTAGGAACTTTAAATTCTGATTTTTGATGGATTTCAAATTTTTGGATGAATATCGAACAAGTTGAAGAACGGTTAGGAACTTCAAATTCTGATTTTTGAAGGATTTTGGATAAACATCGAATTTTGTTGATTTTGGGAATGCAGTCAATTGAGAAGTGAAAAATAAAAACTTCACATGTCTTGAACGATTTTCTTTAATTGGGCACGAAAATTAGTCTACAACATGCAAGCTAAATTAATTAGTACATGTGTATTTTGACGGTCAGTTTGGTCTAAACTGATCAAAAAAAGCGTTCAAACTACAGACCAGGACGGTTTAACTATTTCCGGACATGACCGAACCGTCAGACCCCTAAAAACGATCTGGTTTGATTTTGTTTCATTGTTTTGAATGGTCCAACGATTTTTTTAACACCCCTGCTATCTCATCTCTAGCGGTCTTGACTTAAAAAGAGGTGGCATACTAAAAGACTAAAAACTCAATCTAATTCCCAATTAAGCTAAACCCAAACTTTTGTTGATAAGATGCACGGTTTTTTGTACGATATATGACTTTCGGATTATCAAGGGTTGAGTTTACGTGAGACAATGCCGTTTTTATGAGATACGACTTTTACACTTGAAATTTCACAGCAAAATGTTGTGATGGTATAGAAAAGTCGAATCTTTACAGCAAAAACATTATAAAGATTACCTTCACGGTGTTTTACTGTGAAGTTTCAAGTGTAAAAATCGTGTCTCACGAAAACAGCATTGTCTCATGTGATCCCAAGTCGATTATCAATATACTAGTATTATTGACACATTACTATAGAATATAGATACATAATCATTTCCAAAACTTAAAAATCATACAAACCTACAAACTGTTTTTATGTATTGTTCACACATGATAACCTACAAACCATTTTTATGTATTGTTCACATATGATAGTGTGAACTTTGATACCTCTTTTAACATTTCATAACAACAATGCATGAATATTGCAATTTCACAAGCAACGCATAGCAATAGATAAACAATTTGTATTTTATTGCAAGAATGAGAATTCGTACGTACATCTAGACTGAATTTGAAAACATATATATGATTACAATATAATCTGTAGTGGATATATTAGATGAATCAAATTTGAATTTCATAATTTAGAATGTTGATTTCTTGTGCCCGATTCGATGGATATTAACAAAGAACCCTAGAAGATCTTGCCTGTACGGTAGAAACGATTTCATCTTATGGCCTTCCTTTTCTGCTCTTTTTTGTGCATAAAATAGTCCGTGGAACGACGGCGATGATCCCTCCTTCAATTTTCCGGCGACTCTGGTCACCTCCACCGGGCTAACCTTCCGATTTTGTTTAGAGGACTTGATTTTTTTAGATCGCAATAAGAACATCGACTCCTTCCCTTCGCTGTTGCTCCGCCGCAGCAAATCCAGAATTCTCCTCCACCGTCGTGATCCAGATCCAGATCCAGCAGAACTACTCTTCTTACATTTTGTAATAGTTGATGAAACGACGTAGGACTTTGGCCTCCATATACAGAAGCTTCCAGAAGGTCTATCGTCCGATTCTTCCGATTCGGATGTTGAAGAAAACGAAGACGCTTCTCCACCATTAACAAACAACTTCTGTATCTGAATATGAACAGAAGAAGCAGTATCGGTTTCTCCAACCGGAAAATCTACATCGGCCGTCGTCGGTGAGCGTTGAACAGAGATTTGCTTACCTGAAACTTCTTCGTCGTCGAGCACCAAGGAGAACTCAAAATCCTCTTCATCAACATCACTAAATTCACGAAACTGAGCTGCCTGTTCCTGCATGAATTCACGGCTGACTTTAGCGGCCGCCGTGGCGGTGGTGGAGGTCAAACTATCGGAAAAGTAGCAGTTAAAGCTAGGAGAAAACCCTAACTCGTCAACTTCCAGTTGCATTTCCATTTCGGTTTTTGTAATTAGAAAAGGGTTTTAGGTTTGTTAGATGGAGAAATGGCTTGGTAGTTTGATTTGAAATTGGAGTATTTTTTGCAGCAGAGGTATTTATAGGTGGTGGACTCACGATGATTGGGATGGTTCACTTGGTCACGTGAGCTTATTCCCGAAGGTGGAATTTGCACGTGACTATGCTTACATTATAGCTTAGGTTTAGATCACGTACTCACGTGCATTTCATAGTTGTACTACCACACCTATTCTTCATAACTTTTTTAAAATAAATAATAGTTAAATTTCTTCTTGTTACACTTAAAAAAAAAAACTTTATTTCAGATTAATTGTATCAGATATTATCAGTTTTATTAAACGCATCTGAAAGTGAAAGATGAGGTATCCAGTCATTTGGAAGAAAACTTTTGTTCCCCTCCTCAATTAATGTGTGATCTTACAATCCACCCCGTGTGGGCTTAGCATCACCGCTGACACACCAGTCGAGTTCCTGACTCTGATACATTTTTAACATCTCAAACTAACCGTACCAGATATTGTCTATTGTGTTCATACCTGGACTCACGGTCTTAAAACATGTCTGATAAATGAAGTAAAAACTCGAAAATACAGGATCTTTTCTTTTTCCAATACTTTTCTGTCCTTTCCATTTCTTTTTCTTAGTAAAAAAAACTCGAGAACACAACATTAAGCAATAAAGATTAACAAACATACTGTTAAATCATCTGTATATCATAATCGTAAACATTTTTGTCGCGTATACAATTATAGATGCATATAAATTTACAAACTCAATAAATCATACAAATTCATAGAACAATTTTCATGTGTTGTTTCATACGTGAAACAAGTGTGAAAATGATGTATTTATATAGTATTGTTTCATATGCGAAATATTCAGAATTATTCTTGTGTGTGAGAACGTTTCACATAAGAAACAACACTATATAAACACATCATTTTCACACTTGTTGTTTCGTACATGAAACAACAAATAATAACTGTTTTGTAAGTTTCTACGAATTATTTGATTTGTAAAATAACGAGAATCTACCTCTTTGGTGAATCATGTGATACTAGTTTATTTTCATGAAACCACTTAAATAATACCGAACTTTCACAGCAACAAAGGTTTGTGAAGGTAAAACTTCACAATATTTTTGCTGTGAAAGTTCGTTGTTTTTCTTACCTTCACAATAAACTGTTGTGAAGATTCATTTTTATTTTATGGTCTCATGAGTCTCACGAAAACAGACTCATTTCACGTGAACTCAACTCTCTATATATATATATATATATAAACATATCGTAAATCACCAACATAAGAACATGTTATTCAACTATGACAACATGCTTGTGACGTATCAGATAAATAATAAATTTATATTATTTACATAAGAAGGAAGTTTCGCTTCTCATACGAAACGTTGAAGCTCCCTTAACAACTATTTAAATAATTAAATATAATTTATTTAAAAAAACAGCTAAACGAAAACTTATGACACAGTTTCCTTGTATTCAGAAGAAGTTTCACTTGTCACATCTGATATTCAATTGTCTTTTAATTTAAATAATTAATTTATAAAATAAAAATAATATTTTATGTAACTAAAAAGACAAATATTAGCTTGTTAAATAAATTGATTTTTTAATAACAAATAATTAAATTAAGCAATTATTATTATATTAAAATTATAGGAACACGTTTTTGACGAATGAAATGGATTTATGCACGAAGTTTCATATCTAGTACCAAACATCGATTGTTTATTTGATTTAACAAATCTCGTGTACATTAATAATTGTACTTTTGGGTTTATTTTTTAAAAATGTTAAAAGAAAGGGACTAAAGTTGTAAGATGGTGAAAGTGCTAGTTTAAGGGTTTAATAGACAATACTAAAAAGATGAGGACTTGTTTTGTAATTATGGAATTCAAGCTAAAGATCTAGATTTGGAGGGATTTAGATCGGAATGGATTTAAAATCATTTGTGTGTTTGGTTAGTAGGGTTTGAAATGGAATTGGATTCCATTACTATAAATAATTTATAAAAATAATTATTAAATTACATTTTTATTAATCGATTATTACAAAACAAATATTTTTTTAACATTTTTAAAACCTTATTTCATACAATCTTATGAAATCATGTGAAATCCCGAGCATCCACTAAGGATTTCAAAATCCTATGTTTATAGAATTTCAATTAAATTCTAAGATTTCAAATTCGGATAATCCAACAAACCACAATGGGATTGGAATGGATTTGAAATCCAAATCCCCCAAAATCTATTCCATTTCTGCAAACCTAACGGGACCTAAAGGGAATACCGGATAATTAGTGGGGTTGATCACGGTTCAGTTTGATTAACTGTATCATATGATGTGGATATTTGGGTATCTGAACTTAACCAGAATAAGGTTATTATCTGCAATTCGGTTTACAGTTATCTGAATTTATATGATGTGGATATTTGGGTATCTGAACTCCTTCACAACTTCATACCAAATTTTTCTTTTTTTAGATTTAGGTTGATAAATAAGTAATAATGTAAATATTTAATATTAAATAAATATATTCAATTTATATATACACGGTCTGTGCCGGGCAATACCTTCAAAAACGAACCAACTCGTGAATACATAGTTTTTTTGGTTTTCAGTTTTTGTATTAGGGGCCGTTTATTAAATGTTTATTCGGGTAATCTTTTACCAAGTTACATTACCTTACTGAATCAATATGACAAGGATCAAAAATCTTATCCGGTAAGATCGAAGACAAGAACTGAGAATCTTACCCAGTAAGTGATGACAACGACTCTTATCACGGTTAACACTTATCGGGTAAATTGTTGCATATGATACCCTTCTGGTGGACTAAATTTTTACCCCGTAAGTATTTGATGGTGTTGAATTTTTCCGGTAAGCACTTAACCCGATTGACAGTTGGTAAACGACCCCTTAGTTTTTTTCGGTTTCAGATCAAATTATCCGTCTCAATTTTCAACCACTCCTAATAACTATCCTAGTATTTCACAGGAGTTGCCGAGTTGGAGTAGGATCTCATGTCTGAGACCATTTATCAGTTACTTGTTGGAATAAATGATAAATCAGAAATATCTATCATCATCTAAATCAGTTCTTTCAAAATTTAGAATAAAATCTGAGCACGTGACAACAAATAACGTGAGTTTTTGTGTTTCCTTTAAGCAAAAACATAGCAAAGTCGAAGTAACTAGCTTTGGGCAGAAACTAGTAAGTTAAAGGTCGTTTTAAGACTTTGTTTTAACGGTCAGTTAATAGCCTAGTATGTATAAGAAGTTTTTGGTGTCTTTTTATGAGTAATCGGAGGCTTTAACTGGAAGCATATGTTTCCAAAACAGATAGTTATGGTTCATGTTACTGTTCGATCCTGATAAATCTGTCCCTATGTTCAAAAGATACATAAATTATGAAAAAGAAAAAGTCTAAAAAAACCAATGGACTTTAATGTTTGGAATGATTAAGTTCTTTGACATTCTAAAACTTGTTAAATAACTTATTGGACTTTCTAAAACCGTTAGATACATTTTTATGACCTATAAAACTGGTTAATGTAGTAAAATAATAAAGAAAAAAAATCTGCAAAAAAACCAATGGACTTTCATATTTTGAACAATTAAGTCTCTAAAGATTTTTTGAACAAAAAAAGTACTTAAATCTATAAAATGAAACAAATATACCAAAAAAATACTTACATTTATAAAAAAAAACTACTTACATTTACAAAAATGTACTTAAATTAAAAAAAAAGATTATTGATAAAATTTATTTTA